AAACCCAGGACCCAGGCAGCACAATTTGTGCTAACTCGTTGCGAGCGAGTGCTGCTGACAAGACTTCCTCCGTCAGTTGTTACAGTACAGGGCACGTTGGAAACCTTCGATACACATGAGTTAAAGTCTTGACGCCAACTATCCCCCTGATAATAACCCCATAATGCTCCCCTAAATAATCCCCTCGATACTTTTCCTTTGAGGATTTTTAGCCTATAGCTCATATTAATATGGATCCTAGGAACCCAGAATGGGAAGGGTATTTACATGATGATCAGCCCAATTCACAAGTCTGCGAGGAGTTCAGGGGATCATAGCAGGGGCACATGCTGTTGGGCTTTATTCCTTCACCTCAGGAAAGCAACCCATTCGCAATACCAGCAACATGGAAACGGCTTTATGACCCTTTGCAAATACTCTCTAACTGCAACCGTGGCCACAGATCCTTAAGCCAGATGGTCCCATAGCGCTCGGTTTGGACAACCCTTCTTATGCTACACTATTCCCATACATCCCACACCAACAGCCCTACCTATACCTGCGATGCTCCTCCTTGGCCTGGGGCTTCGTGAAGACCTCGTAGCGGTTGCCCACCAGCCTGAGCCAAAGGCTTTGCTCCATGAGCCAGCTGCCCGGGCTTGATAGATATGACACAGGAACCATATAGGTGGGGATCATGAATCGGAATACAGCCGCCACCCTCGTGCTTAAGCAGATAGAATACAACAAAATTAGGCAACGTAGTTGAGAAATCCAATGCTCTATCCGCTGGTACAGTCTTTGTGTCTTGGTGTATGGCGGGTACCAAAAGAAGACGCCAAGGGTCATGCTGGGAGCCCCCAACTTCAGTTTTTGCCCAGTCAAGCCAAGGAGCGCGAGCAAACTGAGACAGGATGATTCAGCACGATCTCGCTCATCTGCCTAGTCAGGCAGCAGGCAAGGATCCCAAGCAGTGACTCACGAGCCCAAGCAATGATGCCTTGGCACTTTGGTGCGCATTGTACATCCATGCCGGACACTGAAGGCAGAAGAGTTCTAGAAGCATCGCCTAGGCCTGGGCCCCAGCCCAGGTTTAGCTGATCTATCTTCGAACCATTCTTGTCGGGAGAGCTTCAGCCCTACCTACGCTGCCGGGAGCCGCGGCTGTCCACATCTTGAATCCCTCCCCGCTTCCTAACGATCAACCATTCCAATCTGCGTAGCTCCATTTTAACATGGCTGTTGCGGGGCGAACATCTTCTAGCGACTGGAAGCAATATTCTCGCATCAAAGCCATCCATCATCCCCAAGCTGAAATGTCTTTAGAACCCTGCGTTCCCCCAGGTGGTGCGCAAGCTTCTGGATCGCATCTGGGGTCCCGAAGATTAACATCCTCAACGCGGTTGCCCGGAGCAATTCCTAAGCAGTCATAAAGGAACATGGTAGGTAGGAAGAACATGCGAAGCACTTCCAGCCCATCCTGCTCAAACAGGATATGTGGCCCGAAGGCTGCATCCAGCTCCTTGGGCCACAGTTTGGGCTTGGAAAAGGCTGTTTGATGCTTTTTGTTGACGCGTCGGACATTTTCTTTACGGCCTTGCACCCTGGCCATCAGCTAACCCGCAGCCTGTGACAAAGACCCGAGCAGCACCACGGGACAAGCTCCTGCTTGGAGAACCTACACGTACCTAAGTATTATCCAAGGAAAGGGATTTGGATGGGTAGTTCACAGATTTACAACACCTAGGCGCATCCTAGACGCTGAATTTACGCGGGTAGCTGGGGACCACTGATTTGAAATCATGCGTGCAGCTCATGCAGCTCAGCGTCTGGAATGGCAGTAAGCATGCGGTGCTTCAGCTCTCGATCTTCGCCTTACTTCTTCAGTACTCATCAAAGGTAAAGAATGCATCTTGTTCGCGAAGCACAAATGGTGCGTGATAAACACAACAAGTCACTCACGAAACCTGACCTGGCCCCTCATTTCGTGGAGTTGGCTTGCAGCAGAGAGCTCAGAATTTGTAAGGCTGAGCTGGAAGAACAAAATGTGTTTCCTGTTGGTGCGCCTCTATAGAATCTTCCAGCAACTGCAGAACGTTGTTCGCGCACAAAATTACACACCTGGAATTGCAGAAGTGAGCGGCAAGTTGTGGTGGACTCCATGACCTGTGCAGTTGTCAGCGCAATGGAGCTCAACACCGGCGTTTGTGAGCCACAGGCTTCAGGGTTCAGGGTTCAGGGTGAAAGTTTTGAAGCCAGTAAGTGACCACGCCTAGAACACCAACCTGTGCTGAAACTGCGATCCAAGCATTGAGTTCAGTTAGAGTTGTTTCCCCTTCTTGGAACCAGCAAGTTAAAACTGAAGATATTGCACGCTTGCACCGCTGATCCACTTGGAAAAGTTTGTCCTTGATCAAGGTGTCACTCTCCTGCTTCGACTTTCGCATGATTCCATCTCTTAATGGTAGTCGCTATGGATGGGTGGGTCCAACACAACGACTTTGCTTGTGTTGATATACATGGTATGGCTTAGGCTACAGAAACCTTACGGACATGACCTTCTCGTTAAAGATGCTAAGCTGTACCCCCAAGCCAGAAGCCCAGATCTCCAAGTTCTGATTCATCGAGACCGAAGAGGGTTCGGAGGCTTTTGTGCTTTGATCTTGGCAGTTCAGTAGTTATGCTAGATATCCAGTCAAGCCACTACAGAAATCCTGCACATGAAGGACACATCCAAAGCCCCCTTCCTTATATCCCTTATATCCACCTCCTGTATGCACCCAATCACCACTGAAACTCTGACAAGAGCAACGTTAGAGACGGCCATCTCATGAAACCTCAGAAACCTTGGGGGTCCCTTCTTAGCATTCTGAAGGGGAGTAAACGTCTGGATTTCTGGATTTTGGTCCTGTACGGTCCAAGCCTCCTTGACAAGCTTTTCCAGACCGAAGGTTTTGCTCGCCTCCATGGTACGCGTTTAAGCTTGCAATCTGGCAGTCTGCAGCCCCGATCATCACAAATTACGGAAGACCAGTCAATGATTTCATGTCAAATTAGGCAACAGCCCCCAGACGTTTGGAGAAGACGCCGACCTGCACAGCAACACCTGCACAAGCAGTGCAGCAGCCGAATGGCCCTGTTGCTGCCCTCGTATTGCGAAGAAAAAGAAGATATGCAGCCCTGACATCCCTGCCTCCTGGTTGACTCGGATGGCCTTCCTGGCAGGGTGTAATCGTGTTGGCTGTCCATCCAACCCACGATACAGAAAATTGGACTGACACATAGCTGGGAGCCTCAAGCGTAGGTATCCCTAAATTTTGCTGGGGCCATGTGTTCTGGCCCGATTGCCTTTACCTTAGAGTCCAGGTATAGCCTGGCACATGGCGCCTTACTGAAAGCAATTGAAAGTACATGCCATACCCAGGACAACAAGGCGCAGCAGCCTAGACCAACAACTCACATGAATCAGGAATGGGGCCACAGGGAAGGGTTCAAACAGGTTAGCTGGCAACAGCAAAATTCAAGGAGGTGCTCCAGTCTCTTTTTCACGACTATCCCTTGTTGAAACCCTGCTTGCTGTCTTCGAACGACATAGACATTAGATCACCTTGTCAAAGCTACGGGTACTTTCTCGATGAACTTATTGACAAGAATCTTGAGAGCAACATACAACAACCACAGCAATAGCAACCACAAACATAGCTACGCTAGCTAGCAATCACTGGAACAACATGCTCACGGCGAGGAATCCGTCGCCATCCGTCGCCCAATCGGCACAGGCATATGCATCGACGGAGGAAGGATTCATGAAGTTCGAAAGATGTTCTGGTACCCTGAAGAAAACTCAATCATCCCTCCTTGGACACCTGAAGACTGAGAAGCGGTTTCCCTGAATCAGGTGCACTATCGTAAATACTGCAAAAATGGCAACCTCGGAATTCAGAAGATGCAAATCAGCCAAGCATCCGTGAGTTGCGGGAGTTCACCTCCTGCATTGCCGAGTTTGTGCGCCTCGAACATGAGCAGAAGTGCTGGCGGGGGTCTAGATTGTTTGGCTTTGTCACCAAACTTAAGCCATAATCCTGATCTGCCAGGAGACAGTAAAGAGTCATTTAAAAGCATGTCCCGCCCTGCCTCACCAGCCAGCTGTCGTTTGTGGTCTCATTCTCCTTAATGCAGTCAGTCAGGATGGTATAGAGTGTGGACCCGTACGCTACACTGGGAATCTATGCACTGGAATCTCCTCTGGTTTAGAGAGTCCACTACTAGACTTCTACGCCGATTCGGCAGGGCTCTTCACGAACAATTTGGTCATCTTCTCAATATTCTCAATACAGAAATGCTAGGTCTCCCCAAGCATAGCTTAGGAAGGCCTGAAAACAATGCAAGGACTTCGCATCTGAGCTACCACAAACCTCCATCATACAAACCTTCCGAGCCCGAAGAGGCCCTGTACTTGAACCAGCCTAAAATTTCCGCATTCATTCCCATTCCACTCTCTCAAGCACCTTGCCCTGCAGAAGGGGGTGGTCGCTTTAAGGCTTCCAAAATGAAGGCCCCAGTCGGTCTGTTCCAAATGGATATGCGCTAGAGAAGGACACCCTTATGAAACATCCACCCCAGTCGTTTAACTTGGGAGTTTTGCAAAGTAATGGGGAGGGTCCTTCAAATAATCTTGTTCTTTGGAGACTATAGCTTGGGTTCCAAACTTGCCCAGGCACTCGTTCCTCACGCAGATCTGGCAATGTTAAAGACTTCCGAGTAGACTTCCTTTTGGCTTTCGAGTTCTTCGACTTCAGGTTGACGGGTTTTTCTAGTGTTGTGAGGTGTTGGTGTTCTATCAACACAGGAAGTTGGGGCTTTTGTTGGGCAGCATAGGCTTTCTTACATTTGCTGACAAGCATCCGCGACGATGAGGGTTGCACATCGTCCCCAAAGATGGACCGGCGAAGGGCGGCACGCAGTGAGTCTGGCTTCTCTTCCTGCTCCTGAGTCAGACCAGCCATCAGAGGGGTATGCGGTCATGATGGCTCACTGACGGAAGAAAAAAAAGCCTGACTGGCCTCCTCTTGCTCCTCGTCTTCGTCGTCATCACCCCGAAAAAGTTCCCGGATGTCAATGTTGATGAACAGTGTCCGCGGATCCGGGTACAGCTCTTGAAAGATTCCGTTGCCTCAGTTGTCCATCTACATGAAGGCGAAACGGAAGCGCCTAGCTACCCACATCAAACTCTGCGGCCTACACTCGCGCAATGTCGGCAACCTACCAACACGTCTTTTGAATTGCCTGCTATCCGTACATGCTTATCTTGTGGCGCCAAAGCTTGTTGAGGATGCAGAACTGGCAGACATGTCCGCGGACAACATAAGCTGTTGCAGATTACCTGTGACCGCGTTGTTGCCGGGCTGCGCACGCAAGCATGCTCCGCTGCCTGGATCTGAGTCTCCTTTTGAGTCTTGAGGCATTTCCTTCCTCTGTCCCTACATACCTCTCCCCCAAGTGTCCCCTTGCATGTCCAAAAGAAGGAAGGTTGCGGCTCCCTCAAGATTAAAGTGGGCAAACTTGCATGCATTAGGAACAGCAGCACCAAGATTTACAGTCTTACTTTCTCCTCTAAACCTGAGCCTCAATCCTCCAGCCTGCAGAAAAGCTCCAGCAGTGATTCCTACATAACAAGGATTAACGACATTGAAATTTCGTCGTACGGACTAGCTGCCTAGCTAGAGTCTTTTCAGATTTTTCCGCGGAAAAAGCCCTGCATGATCCAGTTGAAGGCCAAGCAATCCCTGTATAGTATACGCAATGCAACCCCCGGCCGCACTCAGGGAGTTTCCAAGATTTGCAACCATGATCAAACCCTACACGTGCACAATCCCTCCAACAGGCTACCATTCCTGGCAGGAGCCATGGGCCAAGCTCAGGGAAATTTTCAGTTCTCACTCAACTCACACGCAACATCCCTTTGGCTCCTTATGAAAGGATGGCCACTAGATGTCACAAGTCGAAAGTGCCACTGCCTTTGAGGGTTCCACATGGTTCCATAAATCTGGCTTCACGATTTCTTGGGTGTGCTTGCCTGGTGGGAGTACGAAACCCATTCCCCAAAGCTCCTGTGCCAGGGGCTCCTCGCTCTGCTGCATGTAGGCCACAAAGTCTTTGGCATATTCCTTGCTACCCGCAGGTTTCAAAAGGGGAAAATGGGGAGCTGAGGAATTTACTGTAGGATTTAGGATTCCTACTGATGCCATGTTGAAAGCAAATCCTGGACCCTTTTATCAACAGGTTTGCATGCGTCGCCTGGAAGTGCTCATGATAGTCTACGCTGTACTCGTGACAGCCGCCCCGCAACATTCGGAGCAACACGCCCATTTACTTGATTCAAGAGTACAACCAGATCCTGGACCCTAAACCTGAAACCCCAAGCCCTCCAGGCTCTGTCCGATCTGCCAGCAAAGAGAACTGCGCTAAAGGTAGCAGTCAGCATCACTCACAACTGGATCGAATGTCCACCCGCAGGTGTAAAAAAGTTGTGTCAAAGTAATTCACGCAGCTGCTTTCAAAGAGGCCTCTTGAATCAATCCTCTTCGGCGGCCGTCTCAAGACATGCAGGCACAGTCAGACACGCCGCCTATGGAGGCTTGATCACGAATGGAGTTCGTCCTTTTTGACAGCCCTGGACCCCATATTCCTAGAGCTCTACACACCTTAGCCATAAAACTCCTAAATCCCTACAGCCTGAACACACCACTCCAGAAGACTCCAGAAGCCTTCCAAGGATCAATGTACATGCGGCTGCACCCAGGAGACATCCTCAGGCACCGGACCAAACCTGGATCGCGGGTGGAGTGGCATTAGCCATTCCAATCTATGCAGCTTCTTGCAGGTATCTAATTAACAGCGCCGCGCACACTGTTACACAAATAATCCTGCTGAGTACGATACTATTATATACTTGTACAATATTTAACCTATATTGCTAGGGGGCTGGGGGGTAACGCTAGGGGAATGATGCGATGTCTTTCTAACAATGGTCCAGACACCATCGCCCTCCAAGGAGTAGGTCTCCGCGAAGGTCTTGGCAAGCAAGGTGCCTTCGTGAAGGAGGCCTCCAAGGGCAGGTCTTGCTTGGAAGTTCATGTGCAGTTCTTGTACTCATATGGCTACCCTTACCCCTACTCCTACTCCTCCTACTCCTTATCCTACTACTCCTCTTCACACGCCTACCCTTACTCCTACTCCTACTCCTACTCCTCCTCCTACTCCTTCTCCTACTACTCATCCTCCCGCTAGTGCTGCTGCTCCTACGACGACCAAATTGACAGCGTGTGCGACTAAGACAGTGGCTGCGACTACAATAATTACGACGACTACTACCATGATAACAACTTACCATGACCACAAGAATGCCACTAAAAAATGACTTGCAGTATGGATTGCATGCAAGTGAGGGAGAAATAGGAGGGCTAGAGGCAAAAGTTGGATTCCGCCCTTCATTTCCTTCAATGCAAAGGACCTGCACCGCTGAGTTCTGAAGTCACGTGTCTGCGTTGCTTACAAAACAGAAAACGAAAATGCACGGTCGGCTTCATACAACTATGTTCACCTCAAGCGAAAGTCACGAACAGAGCGTGAAAATGCGCACGTGCGCCACTGCTTGCGCAGCCGCTTGAGCTCACGTTTGTGACCGGTCGTGAAGGGAGGAACCAAGAAGTCTAGTTTAAATGGGGCTTTTCTGAGGTGACTTTCCCATTGATGTATGCAGGCCTCTCAGTGAAACTTCCTCATGAAACACAGGCTGCGCCTTTGATGTAAAGGCAAGCCTCTGAGAACCACTTGACGCCCTGCACCTAAGTTCCAACAGCAGTGAGGACATTGACAAATCTTCTTCTTACTACTTACCGTGCAACAGTCACAACAGCCACAAGCCATGATACCCTGAAACCTCAAAGTCTCTCAAACCCCAATGGCAGGTCGAAGCGTGGCTCAGCTGCACAAGGACCCTGTAGAGTCAATAGCTATCCATCGAAACCAATGGAGTTCCTGCAATTTCTGCAATGTCTGTGCACTCATCCATGCCACTATACCTGCAGCTTCGTGCTGCAGATCCAGTACATTGCAGTATCAGTACATACACCCCAGAAGGCTGGTGCAAGAACTTGATTGCCGGATGCTTGACAAACCTCAAGATGAGACGAGCTCTTAGCAACTGTGGGGTACAACCTGGTCATGAAACGAACATTGCACCACCAAAGCCCTACATAAGCCTGATAACCCTGTAATCCACTTGTAATTGCCTAGAACTTTTGGCAAGGACTCATCTCTGCAAGAATGGGCACCGTCTGCGGACCCCGCCCCGCGACTTTCAGCAAGAAGCTTCCCCCAGAGGTTATGTCCATTCTGGCCGCCCAGGAGTTGGCCGTGAAAACCTGAGTGATGACACAGGGACCCTAAGGAGGGCATGTAGGGGCTCAGGTAGGGAGCTGGCCTGAGGCTCATGGCCACACCGTCTACTTCTTTACCACGGGGATAGGGTTTTAATCTTATGGCCATGGGCTGATTGCTCTAAAGATTCGCACTGAAGTAGTAGGACACGTTTTGCATGTTGAATATTCTTAACTCGAGTTAGTTTGAGATTGCATAGTCTGCGCCTTCAAGCGCTTGGAAACCGCTGCAGCTTGGTGGTCTTGACAAGTGTAGGTCCATTTGGCATCTTGTCGGAACATATCACAACATTTGGGTTTGAGCGCATGGGAACGCAAAATTCACTTCACCATAACAACTGCCAAGTTAAGCACCTCTACTCCGCCTAGAACTTGTCGTGAAAAGTATGACATCTCAGCCCAGGTACAGCCTCCTGACGCTCGAAGACGTGCCTTTGCAGCGTCGCACAGATTTCAGCGAAAACCTCCGGAAAAACTGCCTGGCATAGAGACAGCACAGGGATCTGTATCACGAAGCTGCTCCGCTGGTTGATGTATAGCTCTTGCTGCAGTGTCTTGGAAATCAGCCCGTCATCAAAGCCGATGCTGGAAACCTTGTCCAATCTATAGTCCACAAACCTCAGCTTCTTTCACCGTATCTGCTAAGCAGGCGTCTGCCCGGGCGCTCTCAAACTAAAACTGAACAAGGCTTTCCCGAAAGCAGGCGGCAAGCTTCATGATTCTAGTGATAAGCTCGAAAGGAGTGTTCTGTCGCGACAAGTACAGTCGGATCTCGCGTCGCTGCCGGGCTCGCTCCTCGTTCATGGCGCGAAGCTCAATCAACGTGCCTGGACTGCTGAGACAACCAACGTCTCCACTTCTATTCTGGCTTCAACATACTGAGGCTTGCAACGTAACACGGAGACCTGCCCGCCTCAGTGAGAGGTAGGGATGTTGACTTAAAGGTGCCGGGGTGCTCGAGATGTTGGACAAGGCGGTCCCCAGGACCATGAGGCAAAGGATGTTGATGCTTATGTCTGCTAAGAGCTCCCCGGCATTGTCTGGCGCCACTCGCGGGGGCGAGGGCGCGTTGATCACGTAGCGGAACGAGTGCATGTACCTTGGCCAGGCTGCCCTAAGCCACCTAAACCTGCAAACCTCGGCCAGCCACGACCCTGGCAAACTCCCGGCCCTCACCAACAAGCCTTGAAAAGCTACTTGATCCCCCAAACGGCAGCCAGCGCAGGCTTCTGAACTCCGAGCAAAATAGACCCTGTGCTAATTTGGAAGAGAGGCTGGGTGAAGGCTGGGATGTCCCGGGCATTGGCGATGGCTATCCAAGAGATCTGCCCTTGCGACTCTGAGGCTCTGCCCATCCCGTACCTTTTTCTGGGCTCTGGGGTCTTTAGATGTCTTTAGGGCTGTTTAAAGGTGGTTTGTTTAAAGGGCTTTTTTCCGTCTGGCAGAAAGTTCCCGGCGCTGAGCCGGTCATACACTAACCTCAAGAGTTCACCAAGTTCTAGAGTTTAGGGTGTAAGGTCAAGGGGAAGTTGGGGAAAGTAGGCAGTCGGGAACGTGTAGGCAAAATTACATATATCAACTCCAACCCCCGCAAAGCACAACTAGTGTCGGGCTTCATGCGGATGATTGGGCGGTCTGATGGATATCTAGGAATTCAAACCCAATGACGTGCAATGAGTCCAATGAGGGACTTAGCAAGGCTTTCGTTCTGGTGAGCGTGAAGGAGCTATACTGATCTGAAAAAGTGAATCTCTGTATGCAAGTTGTAGTCTTGTATCAACGCGTGGGCCAGTAACACGGCATCCTCGTTACTCAGGTTCCGTTAATCCGACATTTGTGCATCAACTTGCATTTTGTGGTCGAAATTTCGATGTTCAACTCGAAGGCATACGGCCACGTGTGGCTTGTTCTCAAGTACGTACGCTTGGCGCAGGCAAGCATGCAACCGACTGACCCCCTGGGTTTAGTTCGGGGCTTGGAAAAAGATGCATGGGGTCAAGTTGAGGGTTCAGGATCTGTGTGGGAACGAGGTTTTTCAATCCATGTGAGGCGCTGAGGCTAAGACTCCCAAACCAGAAGGTGTGCAAGCGTTCGGGTTTGAATGAAGCTTCATAACACGCGGTTTCTTTTTCCAAAGCCCAATCTGGTAGATAACCCTGGAGAGTCGGAGTACTACGAGCTGGCAGCCATGTATTCCTTGTTTGCCCTGCTGGACGGCATCATTCACGCTGTAACTTCAAGGGGGCTTTGGAAAGTTATGACGTGCTGTAGGGGCAGCTGCTTCGAACTCAGCGGTGGGTATCACAGTCGCAGCTGTTTGTATACGACCTCAAGACGATGCACATATGGAAAAACGAAAGAAAAATCATGAGAGCTCGACACTTTTTTTCCTATGTTTCTGTTCAGCAGATACTTCAAGCGCTTCTGGGCAAAGCCGGGGCTTTCCATGGCCCAGGCACCATATGCAGGTGAGGATATGGCACGTCACGGTGATCATGACGGCAATGTTCAAGACGGCCTGAAATTTCTGAGTGCTTCTGAAAGTTGTCTGAACAATCCTTGGCAAAAGCCCTCTTGAGGCGAACAGCCCCGTATAGCTCAAGGAGAGAATCCACAAACATGTCTAAGGATGCCCACGTTCCAAACAGAAAGCTGAATGTGTCCCCAGTTTCAGTACCGGAATCCATCACGAAATATGCACACCTCCAAGGTTAGAGCAGTGAGGAAGAACCTGCGTACATGCTGGGAACATGTACAGAATCTGGTCCGAGCAGCGGCAACAAGGATGGACTGGTGTCCTGTGTAGGCCACAAGTTCCTGCAGTTGTCGGATTCAATCAGGGTAGTCAAGCTGCAGCTAAGGTTTGGGAGTGCATGACTTGGCAGCTCCAGAATGATAACAATGGAGTTGTGTTTATGGAATCTTCAACAGCAGGCGACAGATGACTGCAGCTGGCCGAGCCATTAAAAAAAAAGCAGCCATTGCCAGAAGGATCACAACTGCAAAACATCTTGGACGGTTTGCGCCCTGTATGAAAAAAGGGCGCTCCCAGGGCGAGATGTATCTCGAGATGTCAGCTTGAGACTCCTTGTCAATGTGAGCTAATGTGCGTCTCATGCAGAAAAACCCTTGTCAGTGCGCCCATGCCCTGCAAAAACCTCAAGACTTGCTTTTGGATGTCCATCTTCTGGCCTACTTGACACAGCCAGGCAGGCATTTATACTCATTTTAAGGTTTAAGCTCCCCAGCCAAGCCTTTTGGTTTGTTTTAACTTGTCTCCTCCTTAGGCGTGGGGGCCTACCCGAGGCATGTCCTGAAACTTGGCCGACTCAGCCATCTGGTGTTGATCTACCGCTTTGGCTTTTAGCGTTTGGTTTTGGATCCACTTTTCTGTTGCATCTTCTTGCTGCAGGCCACATAATTACTCTGAAGCCCAGAAACTCCGAAGCTGCAAAGCTGAATTTACCTTGAGCTATAGTCCCCCTTAAGTAGATAGAATACGGTATATGGGGATCTTATTACCATACACCCACTGCCATATTCTATCTAGTTACGGGGGACTATACCCAAAAGTCTCCGTGCCTCAAGGATGTTCTTCAGCCTCCGGACCTGCAGCAGACGCAGACCATCAAAGAAGACTTGGTCAGGTCTTGAATAGCGCCTTCTACGAAGCAAGTAAACATTTTTAGGTTTTCCCTCTGCAAAGAGTAGGTGGTGTGTTTCGTGGGTCAAAAAGATTTGGAACACCAGGATCGTGAGTCTCCGGAGCCCAGTTGACTCTTCAACTTGCAACTAGCCTAGTCTAGGGTACGGATTTGCGCTCTGGCGGTTCATGGTTTGGGGTCCAGGCTTCATCTCCCCGATCTTACTAGAAGGATTTGCAAGGAGCCTGGCATGAAATGACTGGCCTTCGTGTGTTTCAAGGGAGTCCAAATAGTCCTGGGTTCTCTGTGCTGAATCCGCGCGAGGCTGCTAGGGCTGAGGTCATTGGCAAGAGAATCTTGGAATGCTGTGTCCGTTGCTCAAGAGCTCTCGAGCACAGGAACCACTCGAGCACAGGAACCACTCGAACTGAATCGTCGCCCTTCTGGCTATACATGTGTATACAAACAGGGGGCGAAACAGAAGAAGGAACCGCACAAAAAACACCTCCGGTTCGGCAACTCCCGAAACAGCCGGAGTGAGGCTTGAAAAATGTGCCAAAACGACGGTCAAGCCAAATCTGTTCGCCAGCATGGGCGTCCTGGGATTTCCTTCTTTCATCTCCACATTCACCACCAGAGCACCTGAATAGAGCCTGGCATGCTGAAAATGATGGTCCTCTGAAAGCGCACAGGTGGCCAAACGCGACATCTAACGAAGACCATAGAACAGCGAGATGAAAGGCTGCGAAATGGTTCACAGTCCAACCAGACATCTTTTGACAACAAGGCGAAGATGATTGATCAAGTGCGAGGTCTTGTGGTGGCAAGCCGGATCAGGCACCGAAAGCAGATGACCCGTAGATAGGTGACGGCACGTTCCAGGACCAGGCCACTCGTGAAGTCACCAGCAGGAAGGGGTCAGACCAGTTCCAATGTTGCTGTGACCCACACCCACGCGCGTAACATCGAAGCACATGTATACCAAGCAGCGTATCCAGCTGTAATAGCACGGGGAAGGCGTCCTCCATGAAGTCGAGACCATGCCAGCCAGAGTACAAGGGATCGCTTAGAAACGCCTTCATGATGCCACTGCAGAGGACCATGTCGGCCATGAAGTGCTCGAAGTATGTCAGGGGATGCCTTGGGCCCCAGACGGCCAGACAGGCCGTTGATTTCAACAAAGGACGAGTCTGCGACCGAGCAGTTTGCTGTGCTAGCCGATGGGATATCCAGCATGGTTTGGGACTGTTTTTGCAACTTCTCCTAATTGATCCTTTTGGCATACTTCCTGGCGCGCCCGCCATTTGCGCAATGTGTTCTGCCAATGCAACGATCAAATCATTCATATCCTCTGGACTACACGCTCTGCATCTCCCATTGAAGCAAAGAGCCAGGGGACAAATAACAATGGTGTTATCTTCGCATCCGGGAAATCAAGTAGATTCGCCATCTTCATACCTGGCTGGTGTTTGGCAGTCTAACACTTGAGATTCGGTTTCTTCCCTGTTGGGTGAGCATGAAAAACTTGAAGGAAAATCGGCACAACAACTTTCAAGATATTGGCTGCTTCTGCTGGGCTCGCTCCAATGGCCGGCCTGATCTCGGCTGTCGCTCCAACATGTGTCTCGCAACCGGATGATCTCATCTTTCTGCATGGCTCTGAGTTGGACATCGGATCTCACAAAAACAGTACGCAACTCTGCGTGCAAACCCCAACACCCAACAACTAAGACTATGCTGGCCCAAAATGCCAGCATTGTGAGTGGGGCTTCTGCACTTGTGCCCCTTGAGAGCCAAGGCTCCTCTGGGCCCTTACCAAGGATTGCCACCCTGAATGCTTGCTTCAATCCCCGTGTAATACTTGCCTTTCACACAAGAATCCCAAGCTGCATGTTCATCTTAAAGCCAGCAGTCTCTGGCAGAAACGTTGCACGTCTCAGCCTTCACGCTGAGATCGTGCCAAGCAGTCAGTGCTCAAAAGCCCATCCCCTCATAAACCAAGCGGCCGTGCCAACGACAAGAGTAGATGGAGTAAGCATGTTTCAACACTGACAGGGGAAGCGAGGCTTCACATTTAGGGGAGGGGATTAGCATGCAGTCATCGTATCTGCGCCATTGCACGCTAACTGAACAGCATGCCGTCATCCCAAATTTATGCCTTCCGTCGACATGGGCATGAAGAATGCAAGAACATTGCCCGGACATTCTGACACAAACATGCTTCAAAGGCGAAACAGAACCCCAACTGCCGACAGAAGTGCGCAAACTGCATCAGTAAGAAATCCACCCCTACATTGCCTGACAGCGCGGGCTTTGCCGGACATGGGCTGGCAACCCGTGCAATCGAAGTCATGCATAAAAAATCCATCCAAGGATTCGTGAGAGCTCCCTACCCCAATACTGCAAAGTTGAAACACATCACATGGACAGCTAATGACACAAGCAGTGTTAGGACTCGATGACTGCATCTCTTGGTCGGAAGCTTCACACGGACTGACCATTGGAACGCTAAGGGACGTCAACTTTCAGAACCAAGCGGTTCCTGAGCAGGGTTTTCAAGATGGCATGCTTCTGCTGATTCCAGATGCAAAGGTAACAAAAAAAGCTTTGCACACGCCCAGGTTCACAACCAGGCCATTGTAGTGGCGCTGAATCTCGGGAGACTTGTGGACTAAACCCTTTGGACCACATGGGAACTTGTTGCCCTTCATGAAGAACACGTCACCCACCGGGACTGAGACGACTCTGGTGGGATCCTTGATGATGTGATCGTTGACACCACAATTTTCCAGCTCCCAGAAGTTGACATTATCATCTGGCGTGTAGACCGTCGCGACCGAATTGTATGTGACGATGGCCCTCGCGCAGTAGTTGTCGCGATGCCACCTTGAGCAGCTGTTCTCCCCGATAACCTCAATCTTAAAGTCAAAAGTGTCGCTCCACGGACAAAGGCGGCCCACCACCTCGCCAATTTCAATCACGTCCTGGCGGATAGCTTGTTGCAGGTCTTCGGGCAGCACCATCCTCACCTTCCTTAACAGCATCTCTGCCGCCTGGCCAAGGTCACGAGGCCCCTCACCGGACTTGCACAGCTGGACCTTGATCTCCTCTTCCTCAGCAATGTCACCACGGGAAACTCCTCGATCCATGGCCCCCTGGAAATCCTTCCACGACGGCTTCCGCTCAAGGAGCAGGGCCTTGTGCTGAGCACCCTCTGGCTGAAGCCAATCGGAGAACCTCGAAGCAACCAATACTGGCGAGGACTCCACGCCTACCTTCTCTGGCACCTGCGCCTTCTTGGCAGAGCATGGTGGCAGGACTGTGGCCAGTGGCGCTAGGATGCATCCACCTCCATATGGGCCAACATTCATGCCAGGGGCACGTGCCTGCGACACCGCCATGGCGGTCACAAAGCCAGCAGATGCTGCCCTACGAGATGCAGACCGCATCAGTCTCACGTTGAGCCAAAACGACTAAAAAAGGCGAGCTCAGCTGGCAAAGGCAATGTGGGAATGAGCTCTGACAACTAGGCGACCACCACCGTACATCAGTCTGGCACCTACATCCTGAACATCCATTCAGCCTGAACCCAAAACCTGCACCCTGTATCATCCGTGCAGTGGTCCCTGCAATGTCCCTCTGCGGCACCTTGAGAAGGCGCAGCAGGCGCAAACCCCGCACGGCGCGTACCCAGCGCAAGGTTGCGCTGGAGTCCCTGAAGTGTGCAAGGGCTCGTGTGGAAATGGAAACATGCAAACCCCAAAATGTGAGCTAGACATCTCGGCATACACCTATACAATGAGCAGTTAAAATATGCCATACATATATATATAATGTGTAAATGAATATCTTGAGACGCGCGTGTATGTATATGTATAAACATATGTGCACGTATACAAAGTGCACAGGAACTCAAATAATCGTATACATAGGTAGATGCACAATAACATTCTCTTGTACGAATGGCCGTTTGATACAAGGCAGCGGGAGTCCCGTGCATTCCCCTAATGCTGCGTTACCCCTGGCTTCTACGTGTGTCAATGCAGGGGGTGCAGTGATCTGGTTTAACAACCGTGTGTGTTCTCACGGCTCCCTTCAGCTGTTACAAGTCAGTGCGAGCAGGGCCAGTACAGGGCAACCATGTCAGGTACGCACTTGCAAACAAGATGGAGCTTCTCAAGTCAGGCAATTACCACGCCTTGCTGCGCCTCCTCGAGGAATAGAAGATCATGCGCTGAACTGAACCTTTTGGACAAGGCTCTGGTATGCAGTGACAGCGCTGATGATGTCAATCGTCAAAAGGCCTGAGAATGAAACAGCCTCTGAGCTGCTTGGCTGGCACATGCCGTGTCCAGCGGGCATGCTTGCGATGGCAGAATGCAGCTGCTTCAGCGTCTCTCTACATTTTGCGGCGAGGATTTGTACGAGTCCTTGCAAGTATTTGGAGAAACTTAACCGCAGGCATATGCACGTTATAGATGTAATGCTCGACCCAAAGAGCCTGAATAGTCGTTTTTTCAACGTCAAGAGTCAAGACCCTAAACCAAGCCTCTCATACACCATCACCTGATTGATCAACATTCAAGGTCTGTGGCTTTCTCCAAAACAGAAAATGTTCTCAGCCACGGCCCCCTGGAACTTGTAAAACCCCGGCTGCGGCCGAGGGGCTACTGTCGAAAAGACACCAGCCGCGCAGGTAATAACACGCTATGACACCCTGTGGCATCCGGCAACAGGGGAAGGCTTCTTGGGCAGAGGAGGGGTGCGAAGTCAAGTCTGGAACTTTCATGACTCCAGCGCTTTGCCTATGAAATTAGCCGGTCAGCACACCACCTGGGAGATGCAGACCAAATCCTGATTACCCAGAACCTCCAACCCTAAACCTTGGGGCCGTGATCCAAGAAACCCACTGTTTGGATGTCTCCGGTAACAATCCAACAATTCAAACTTTGAACCATATTTCAACTTTAAGCCCCTGGCATCGTGTTAGGAATGTATGGTGCCTGTAGGCAGTCTGCAGAAACACCAGATCGACTACAAAGGGCCTCTTGGCATCTGGCGAAAGAAATGAGAGTCCATACGCAATCCCAAACATCAAAGAATTGGAAGTCCTTCATGGTCGCATTTCCTCTTCAATCAGTATAATCCCCATCACTGATGCCTGTATGCCATATGCTTCCTGTTTCGTCCCTTTACAATCCGCTGCAACCCCCTGTTTGGAGACACGTTAGAAAACGGCTCAAATGGCGGCTGGGTCCCGAGCCCTGGCAGACTCCAGCCTGCCTTACGACATCTTGCGACAAACTGGTTGATGAGGGTTTTGAAATTCGGGCAGCATGGCTTTAGTAGTAGCAGTAGCAGCAGCAGAAGCAAGAGAAGCATCCCGCAACTGCATAGCAATAGAAGTAGCATAGTGGGAAATCGAAGTATATATTAAAGCAAATGTAGAAGTTAAGTAAATAAGCAAGTAAGCAACTAAGTTTGTAAATAGGTAGGCAGGCAAATAATTAAGTAGGTAAGTAAGTAAGTTAAGTAGTAGCAGCAGCAGCTAATGTCATTGTCAGTCGCCTGGCGACGACAAGTGTTTTCAGCATTTCAGGATTTCGGCCGCGCCTGCATGGTGTTCTCCAGGGTGAAATGCATGATCTTTTGTAATACGCTGTCCCGTGATGGGATTTCAGTCCGCGTTGGATTTTCAGCTTGAAGTTGATTTCAGGAAAAAACATGATCTTTTTTGAGCTGTCGACGGATCTTCTTATCCACAATTTTGTCCTGCCTTCGCCTGGATTGTCTCCTATGCGCGCACGCTTGGCAATTCAGTGTTTCAGTTGAAATTAAGCATTGTGAATTTTGAGCCGTTTTGGCTGCTCAAGTCTCCGCAATCATCCATGCCAGAAACAGAATGTTTTCTCGTGTTGCGAGCGCATATGCTTGCCACAGCACCCTTGCCTAAACCACATTAACGTTCGTCCTTTTAATGAGTGCAATGACCAGAGCGTGCAGAGTGACGCTCGTGTTCCAAGTGCATAGTGACGGTCCCGTTCCAAGTGCATACGTTTTCCAAAGCATCAACGCCCCAACCATAATGCCGTTGGTGTTCCCAGTGAATAGGTTGCAGCGCTTGAAAACAAAATTTGTCCGGGATTTGGGGCCCTTTGCCTTACCCTCAAAACCCATTGCATATTGAAAATTCTTGCGCTTTCTGCTCCTGCCATGTCCTTAAGACCACCAGGCGACCTGGCACAGCGTTACCTACAAGCAGTAGCGGCAGTAGCCGCAGCAGGCATACTAACAAAGGAGTGGGCCATGGGCTTCTGCAATATGATTCAAAAGGATATGCTATGGGATGACTTGCGCCGTGCACGCTACACCCAATCAGGCTGGCGGCTCTGAAGACCAGCAGACCAGCTTCTTGTGAAAGCTTATCGTACACATCATCATTCCCCAATCTCCACGATGAAGCCCCTCTTGCTTGGGCGCATGACAGAATATAACTGACAAAAATTACTGGTGCATCGCTTCTGGGATTGAGTTCGCTTTTTCGGTCACTTCAACGCATTTCCTCGTTCGATACTGACACAAAAGGCTGCCATTCAGAGCGTTACGTACGGTAAGCATGCGTGGGGCAATGGAAGGTTGTAAGATGTCGTGCGGGAAAGGCAATCATGGTGCATCAGTCTTTCGGGATCATGTTCGGTCCTGTTCGGTTAGTGCGGAACTGTTGGGGACCTCCACTTATGATCTCCCTTTGCCGGATGGTCCTCGAACGGGGTATGTTTGAAGGCAGACGAGATGCACATTCCCTCTGGTTCTTGGGGCAGGTTCAAGACCCTGAAATTGAGCATTGCTCAAACCTCACCAAACCTCTCTCTTGGCTTGCCATGTATTGATGACTTGAGTCCTGAATCTCATTAAAACCTGCCAGCTCAAGCACAACAACTTTGCGCCAAGGCCAAGGGGCCCTCCCGATACACGGCTGTGCTGAAGTTCAGGGGCACTTCCTGGGCCACGGTCTGGAAAGCATGAGACCTCACCCTTTCTGCAACACAAAAGTGCTTTGCAGGGTTACGCTGCATCGTTCTACCCCATGAGGACTCGGCACGACAATGCAAGAAGTGTCAAAACGAAGTGATGATCGGCCTGCAAATATCCGCCTTACCTACATCCAAGGGACAGAACTCCATCTCGAGTTCTGCGACAATAGATCCCTCATTCTGATGCACCAGATTCAAGGTTTGAGCTGGATGGCTACCAGGTTTGATGCCTTACCCCTGGGATCGCTGGCAGGTCCCACAGCGGCCGCATTATGTAACGTACTATTGCTGCAGCTTGCGAAGAAGAAAAGCTAGAAGCAAACCTATGTCTCCCTTGGACTGCAAGACATTAAAGCTACAATTCAGAACCAATCCCACAGGCCAATTCAGACATCCCCTGTAGCACGTCGACCACTGACATCACATATCGAATTGAGTCTAACGCTGGAGATCTGAAGTAGAGGAATCGTGGGTTATTCCTATGGCATCCTATGGCTATTGGCAGGCTAACGTCAACACAGCTGTCAGCAGCCGACTTTACAGACGCGATTTGAAGGTTGGCGGTACCAACATGGGGAAAACCTGCTTGGCTGCTTGCAAAGCTGCCAGGGTCCAGAATACGAGGCTTGCCCAGAAAGAAACAGCCAGGAGGACGCCAGCAAAGTCCTGATGCGTGGATTCCTCTCAATTGTTGGTCCCCTTTGCTTCTCATGATCCTTTCTGGGGGACCTCGAGGCCAAGTTGCAGGAAAAACACGCTCGGTGACCCTTTTGGAGCGCTCATTTAAGTTTGGAGCCTATACCTACCCAATCCTACCCATCCTAAAGAAACTTTTCAAGTTACAATGTAGAGCCTCAAGATGACACAGGCCAAGACTATATGGGGATAATGGAAAATTGGAGTTGTGTTGGGGTTATAGTGAGGCTATATGAGGATTATACAGGGAGAATGGAAAATGAAATAGAAACTACTATTTGGGGCCAGGGTTTAGGGCTTAGGGGTATTCTAGAGACATAAATAAATAATCATCTACAACCTCCAAGAGTCTTTTGCGCTTGCTAAGAAGCCACCCAGTTTCATGTTCATAAATGCCTAAGGCACCTGACAATCTGATGCCCGCCAAGCAAAACCAACAGTCCCCTCATGCAAAAGCGCAAATAGCTGCGGCCTCCCTGTCTACAAGAAATCTTTGCACTCCACATCAAATCAGATACAGAGCACTAGGTCATAGATTCTTCGATCTTCAAATTAGCCTTCTTGGGTGGGGGCAATGCTCCTGCTTAAAAGAGTAGTGCCTCTAGAATAACCGTACGCCCTCAACCCTAACCCTAAATAGTAGTTTTCATTTCATTTTCCACTCTCCCTACAGAATCCCTATATAACTCCAACATATACCAAATATAACCCAAATATAACCAAACGTCCTCGCTGCGGATGTCAAAGTCCCAGGCGACCGAGAGTGGAACGAGTATAGCATCGATCAGCCTGGAAGCTCAAGTGTCTCCTCTATGTAACCCCCTCTAAGGGGTTTAAGTTTAGATATAGTAATCCCCTCTATAATCCCCTATATAAACCCCCGTTCAGGAGGTTAGACTAAAGCTCATTACAAGTGATGCTGATTTTTGATGCCGAGTCCTGTCTGCATTGTCGGATTTCAACTTGATGACTGTACGACATCTCTTTCGGCTTAATCGAAGTCCTAGCTTAAACTCCCATTCTAAACTTAAGGTGTACCAGGCGGAGGTTAAGGGCCAGGTCTAGGGCCTAGGAAGGATTTAGGCAGGAGTACTGGTGGCGGCAGTGGTTGGAGCATCAGGAGTTGAGCAAGCGGCAAAAGCAGAAGCGGGAGTAATGTGAGTAGAAGTGTTTTCAATGCCAGCAGCACCAAGAAAACAATGCAAATCGCTGCCTAAGGATGAGGCAGGGCAGCAAGCAATTGGACTTGCCCAAGTTGCGCTGCTTAGGCTCCGAGCCCATCTGAAGCCTCTGGAGCTTTGAAACCAAGCAAACTGCACCCGTATGTGAGAGGCAACCTTCTCCGGGGCTTGAGCTGAAATCCTTCAATACAGACCCTAAACCCGAGCATTTGATCCTGAACCCCGTTTCAAACAGACCGAGGAGCAGCAGGAAGCCACCTACAAGGTCCCAAGAAACCCGGAATGGACCACCCGGATGAATCACAGTGTTCAGCACAGCGGCCCCCTGCCACACAGCTTTTGGATCAGGGCTTAGGGGCTGGTCACTGCTCGGTTGCTGGGCATTTGGCAACCTTAAATGTCCACAGCTGTGGGATTCTGGGATCAGCAGCGCAGGCTGTTTCGCACGGCCTGCTGGCTTCAAGATCCATCCAGTTACAATGAAGTGCAGATTACCTCTACAAACAAACTCATCTTGGTCCAGAGGGCCAAAACAGCCTCTGAAGCTATCCAAACATGGACAGAACACATCCACTTGCTGGCGTCGTGTCCCAGAACTTGTCTTACTTACACCCTTTCCATTCCAAGTTGCTACAAAATCTGCAAGCAAAAGCCCAGAGACCTTGAAGGAATCGCTGAAACCTCAAGCCTTTCAGAGATCTCAACAGCAGACCTACTGCTGCAGGACAACACCGGCTCAATGCTATCGAATTCGGCCCCGCCGGGTGCTCGCTGACCCGTCGGGATGCGCGACTGTGCAGTAATGAGTTCCTCTCAAGTGCAGGAAATGCTAAGGCTCACAGTCTGCACGCTTTGGCTCTTGAGAGATATCTCGTCGAGACACTTCGCAATTCTAGCGTTCTCTGCCATAGCCTCTTGCTTTGTGAGTGACCCAGCAAAGGTCTGCAAGTCATCTTTTTGGGTGTGTGCGGGCAAAACAGGGCGGCTAAAGCCCCTATCCGGCTAGGCAAACGATGCCTGTACCATCCAGAAGGACTAGGAACGTGCATAAATCACTGCATATCACCCAAGCACCACATCATTACCCGAAACTTTCTGAAGCTCCCTAGCCCTAACCTGCCAAGCACTACAAATCACAAAGTCAATCCTCTTGAGCGTCTCATCACCCACGGCGGATGTAGACAGCTCCATCCACCGGCCGTGCAGCCGCATCTCTTTGTCCTTCCGCGGCTCATAAGACGAGGGGCCGTCGGGGTGCAACGACAAAATCTAGGAAACCTCCTGCCGCATGTGTAAGGCAAAATCAAGCCACAACACCTCCCCGGCTTTGTGGTCAAAAGCTAGGCTAGCTCCACATGCTTTTGCTACATCCGGAGTTGAATGCATTCCTTGCCCGGCCGGGTCATGTAGCTTCGCAAGAAAATTTGGATCACAACTTCTCTTCTGGGATCCAGCAGGCTTCATGGCTAATAGCTGACGTGGTGTTCAAATTCGGAGGAGCTCAGAGGATGTAGCGGACAGGGAAGATCTTCAAAACCTGCTCCAGGGAGTTGGGTCATTTTTGCTCAGAAAATCTAAGCAATTTGTCTGATTCCCATAGGTTGGCACTTGACGCACACTGTTCTCCTGCAACCCTGCTACTGAGACTTGCTAACTTGCTCATGACTCATCAGAAAATCCCGCGGAACAATGCAAGCAGCCCCTGAACAATCCTTGATGGCCCCCATGAAGCTCACGTAGCGTCTGAAGACATTCTCCTGCATCAGGATCTCCTGTCCGCGGCGGCTTTGTTGGAGTCGCGAAAGTCAAACTCCACTGTATTCCACGACGAGCTTCTTGAAGGTTCATAGGTCGCGAAGACAGAGCATGCTAACGTCCGGGACTAATTACCCCACAATCTACTGCAAAGCAGCATGGCACCTGACTACCCTGACCCTGAAAGCCAGTCCGCAGCACAAACAAAGCATGCACATCAGGTGCCCTCCCAGGCCCTCCTGGTCCATGCGGTTCCTCCGAAACTCCACGAGCACCTGGGACGTTATCAGGTGTCTTCACGGGCTCAAGACGATAAACCCATCCTTAGCTTTCAAACCAACATCCCAAGCCCTGAATCCGATTTCCATCAACACAAGTGCTGGAATCGGTCCAAAACCAAGCCCAGACTTTAACAAGTAAACCAGCATTTGTCTGAGCCCAGCCACATGCACCTGAAGTTCAATCCTGTCATATCAAGTTATCTGCAAATTCATTCAGAGCAACCTGGGGTGGGCGGTCTGCAGCTGTGAACGCTGACTCCACTTTCGGGGGCACCGCCTTAAGAGTTGGAAGCTTCCAACTGAGGTTTGGACAACCAAGAACAAGCACAGAGAGATCGAAAAAAGCTAATGCAGTTGAGGCACCCAAATGTGAGAATATCCAACACACTTTTGTGATGTCTGTGCTTGATACCACCACCACCACAACCATAACCACCGCCGCCGCCGAGCCGCCACCACCACCACAATCACCAACTCCACACCTCACTCAACCTGTGAGTATGCGATGATTTTCGAGTCTTATCCTCATCTCATCTCTAGCCGTCTGCATCTCCAAAGGCAAATTTCCTGGAACCGCTTCCGGGCCGACAACGCCAGGCGAAGCCAATGTACATCTAGTTTTAACATGTCTCCCCAAGCCTTACCCTGCAACGACTGTCCGGTCAACACTTGTGCAAGGCGTAGGCGCGGCAGCGGAGCTGATTTAAAAGTCGCTTCTCCGCGCGGCTGCATACATTATATGGTCTTGATGCAAAAACTAATTGAAATGACGCAACGCGTGTTCGTAAACACTTTTGTGGTAGTATGTAGCCAGTTTTGTCTAGGGTGACCGCACCTTCCCTTTGCCTTGCGAGTCATGTGGTAACCACTAAAGGATAAGATTTTTCTGCAGTCTCGAGAAGTTTTAATGCGTGTTCACTCTATCTATTATAATCGTCGGAGATAAGCAACAAACACCCGGAACCCAGCCTTTACATGCTCTCAGTATCCTTCGGTAGGGATGCCACAGCCCCGTAAGTGTTTACGGATGCACAAATTTGGCACTGCAAGAGACGCGGAAATCATTCTCTAATAAGGGCGATCTCCCAGTCGCCTCGTGCTCGACTTGCCGGTCATTCCCCAAGATCTCCTGTTTGGGTCTGGGCCTCTTCTTGGGCTTTGGGAAGGTTCACGCTTCCGGCCTTGCCCCTTACGCTTACACGTGCCCACTTCAATGCTGTAAGTAGGATTGTGTCGCGAGGTTTCAATTGACAACAGAAGCTGGCCACGTCAAAGCCCCTTTGTAGACCTACCACTTCAACTGTAAACCTCCGGTGCCACAGCTGAGACCTCTAATCTCTGGCCTCCACCGTCACTGCTGACTGCAGACGGCTCAGCTTCTCGTGGACGCCTCCACCCAGATGCCCTCTCCCAAGAACGAAACTGTTCGCACGTCACATTATTGTTTTCTAGGTCCCTTGAACCCTACTGAAAAATGATTTCACTTGCTACGCAGTGCCTCAACTCATGTCCGCGGCTCTGCCTACGTCTACGTCTGGCCAACTGCGGTTGGCTGGGGATAGCCGCATGCAAGGCGCACACATAACCTATGACCCTTCATGAAACGATCTTGTATTGTGACCTTTGGCAGGCACTATCCATATTTAATGGCTCTACAAAATGCAAGGCCTTCGAAGAAGCATTCGATTTCTGCGCGAAGGGCCTGCAATTCAGCTTCTGGGACGGGTCTGCAAGCTTGACTACCAGGAGGAGTGGTGATCCTTTCGCCCTGGCATCAAACTCCCCACCACCACTAAATATTCCTCAGCCTCAAATATGTTCACTTTTGGGGGGTGCTGATGGAAAGACTAAGATAGCCCTCCAATAAAATGACAGGACAGCGCTCGATATGGCTGCTTTCAGCTCCTTTTGACTAGTCATAAAAAAGATTGAAAAGCCCTACAAGTAATGAAATTTAGGAAATCAAGACAATTGCCGATAACCCCAAATGACCTCAGAGCATGGGCCCAGTGGAAGGGTAGAGCTGTTAGGCCTCCGAAGCTGCTATACGATATTGGTGGAGGTTAATGATTAGGGTTTACGCCCCCCTACTCAATATGTTTGTCTCAAGCCTCAGTGTTCAATTGATTGCTGGGTACAAAGGGGGAAGGGTAGGGAAGCGGGGGTAACGACGTACAAATAGGAATTTCAGAGTGTGGGAAGCACTGCTCATGAACAAACTTCATTCAGACCCCTCCTGCGTCCTACAACATTGCTAGTATTCGACAAAACGCAAAACGCAGGGGGAAAAACTGGACAAAAGAGAGCATCATGAATAGCCGAAAGCGGAATGACAAGAGCTAAAATAATACTGAAAAACAAGCAAGGTAGGCCTAACTCAACTCTTCATGCCAGTTTACAAGTTTTAGCCTTCCCGATCTACAGCACGGTCCCGTTGACAAGCGACAACAGAATATGCCTGACCCCAACCACGCCAGGATCATGTCCACCAAGCTCGGCAAGAATAGCATCGCTGGAGGACGTGACGTTTTAGGCCGATGGGTTCCAAAACAACTTCATCCAAACAGGTAAAAATCAACCCAAATTAGAAGTCAATGCGAGTGTGTTCAGGGTGCAGCATAAGCTTGCTGAATTCTGCCCGTCTCTCTGCAATCACTGTGAACGAATTCACTGGATTCTGAACAGACTTCACGGTCTTGCAAGTCTTGCGAGTCTAGCGCTGCAGATCATGCCTCGTCGTGGGGACCGAGCAAAAATTACCCTCGGCAAATTCTTCAACTGACGCTAGAATATCCCAGCAACTAATTCCCGAGCACTCCCCACAGGAACCAAAATTGTGAGGCCTCGAAGGCTGCCTGGAGATCGCCGTTTGGCCGCGATGCCATGGCACGCGTGTGAAAAGTCTCTGGGTTTCAATGCCACTTGCAAAACTTCAGTCTCATCATAATTGCCACATGCCTTTTTCATGCTTGCTTAAGGCTAACAACTTCCCGAGATAAGGCCTCAACTAGAGCCTGGGGTGGGGCTCTGCCATGAGGTACGGTTGCGATGTGGCTAGTAAACCCCTTCTGAACCGGTTTCCATGGCTGATGCCATCCACCCACTTGCTGCACGCATGTTACCATACCCCAGATTTGGCAGCAACTCGAAACTTGTTCACACGTAGTGGTGCTCTCTCTCATTCTCTCTCTCTCTCCCTCTCCTCCTCCTCCTCTTCTTCTTCTTCTTCTGTTTCTTCTTCTTCAGGCGGCGCCCCTTGACGGTGCGCACTGGGGTTCATCCCATGGCCTAAGTGTGGGTCGCAAGGTCAAGGTCTGTCGGCGAGGACCGGAACTTCATCCACAATTCCGTGTGCTCCCCTGCCACCGTGGTCCCCCGAAGAATGCCCGATGGATTGCAGTCCTTCGTGACTTCCTCCCTACTCATATCTGCAGAGCCTGAGAAAAAAGAATGATCTAGGCGGATCTGCTGGTGTCGGTATCACTGGAACCACAACACGCAGACAAAGGACTTATCCACGAGACCCCGAACAAGCTTGTCAGCTCTTGAGCGACTCAAAGCTACACTCACTATGCAACATCTCTTTTCTTCTTCTCACTGCTCTACCCCACCCCAGAAGGCAGGGCTGGGGCACAGCCCCAAGCAGGTGCGGTCACAGGCAACATCTCTCTCTCTCTCTCTCTTCTTCTTCTATGGGCTATGTAGTGCCCGAAGGCCCTACATTGGCGAACCCCGGGCCCCGCACGTGTCCAGAATCCCGAGTCGGTTTTCCAGGACGGCCGGAATGTCACCCATTCATGCTCGACTCCATGGCTTACGTTTCATTGCTCTTCACCTACTTCTTCTTCTTCTTCTTCTACATGCCATGCGCCTCCCTTCTCACCTACTCTCTCTCTCTCTCTCGCTCTCTCTCTTTTGCTCTCTGACTCATCCTCTCACTTCCTGTCGTCAACGCGGCCCAACACTTGCATGTGGAGTTCTTGCACTTCGACTCGAGGCTGCGGCTAAAACTTCGTGCCTCGTACACCCAGCAAAATCCCCCCTCTCCAGCCTCTGAACGCCATCGGAGAGCCAGCGTGATGGGCCATGCATCCGACCAAGCCCTCAGCACGCTGTCATGAAAAACAGACCTGATGCCGTCCCATGGATGGCATGGCTTTCTATTTCACGTTTTCTTGGAGTGTAAAATAAAATCCTTTCAAAAACAGAAGCTGCCCTGGATAGCTTCCAAACTCCTTTTTTTGCATGACTGTCAATCCAAGCATCACTCCAAAGACTCCCATTAGACCAGACTTCCCGAAATTTGGGATGAACTGGGGCTTTGCATGCCAAGCATCAAATCCTCGTGCGATGGCTGCACATACCCTTCTTTGCCGACAGCATCATCGCTCGTGTCATCGCTCATGTCGCCACCATGATCATACCTGACACATGCCATCACTCCACAGCAGCGCTGTCTGATTCAAGGAAAAATCCTCTGCAGTGCTGCATATCTCAGCATGGCATGGTCGATTTCAACCAACTTCCGGCCTTCCAGCTTCCGAGTTGTACTCCCATGACCTCGGCCAAGCATAGATTTCAAGGTTACGGCAGGGGTCCGCAAATCCTCATGACAAAAAGTGCCAAAGATGCCGCACCCTGACATCACCAGAGAAAAAATCGCGATTCTAGCGAAGAAACGTAGATGTACCCTACACTCCCTACCATCTGCTGTGTTGACCTTCTGAACTGGTCAGGCTGGAAGTAATGAAGGTGCTGCGCACATCCTTTGATGCCATGGACGCGGCTCGACATCAGGCGGCCGCCACTCGTCGTCAACGACTGGCGCGCGGCTGGCAAGATGGTGCCTGAAACTGACTGGACAAAGGGAGCTTGTTGTTGCACTATCTTCATACTATTTTATGGTACGAGATGGAACCAAAATATTCTGGGATGCATACACCAAACCCTGTAGGAAATGCAATACCATGCAACCACTGTACAAGAAATTATGGGTTAAGAAATACAGGAGTGGGGGATCAAAACCTGATAAGAGATCAGAGAAGTTTTTTTGAGAATCATGATAAAAAATGATATGTGATCAAAAACTGACTATGATTGAAAGTCTTGCCTATGGAAGAAGATACAATGCAAATTGCAGCATTTTGGGTTGCGCAGAGGCTGCAGACAATGTAAATTGCAGCGTGTTGGGTCGCGTATAAGCTGCAGACACTGTAAGTTGCAACACATTGGCTAGCGCAGAGGCTGCAGGCATTGTAGTAAGTTGCAGCATGCCGGCTCTTACTTTTCTAGAGCTTGCCGATGCATGTTGCAAACTACAGCGTGCGGAACTTTGTAAGGAAATCAGAGAAAGGGGGGCGGGGGGGGGGTGCAGCCGCAGCCCCCGCCCTGAAAAAACAACATGTCCGCATAATCCTGACTTACCCTCCCTTACGGCAAACGTGATGACATGATGCTTCGTTTTCTGCAAGCATATATGGCTCGACATTGGGGGATGTAGCCCCCACATTTGCAAACAAAATGATCCGAATAACCTTCCCTTACTGCAAACATGGTGATGACATAATACCTCTCTTTTCTCACTGCAAGAGTGGTCCTTCTGAAAGCGGGTGGGAATGGTGGGAAGGGGGCGCAGCCCCTCCCATTTGAAAACAATATGTCCGCACCATACAACCCTCCCTTACAGCAAACATGGCGAACATCGTGCTTCTTCACTGCAAGCATGGATGGCCTCAAAAAGCCGACTTTGTGTTTCTTTATTTCCCTTTGCTTCTGTGTCTCCTTGGCGTTTCCTTCTTTGTCTATTTCTTTCTGTTGTTTTGCAACTTTGCACTTTTCCTCGACTGGATGGAAACCTGTTATGGGCAGCGCCTCCATCATCCCTGGGGAGGCCTGGAATTCCTAAATACTGTTTTTGCAACAGTTTGCAATTTTCTTTATGATCACTTATCCAGATGGGTCTTTGATCGCAGAATTGTTATCAATGGTCGCTCCGCTGTGAATGCACATGTGATGTATGTTGCTTCTGCATGCCAAGCGGCACGTTCCTTGAGACTTCAGAGAAGGGGAATCGGATCTGCAGGACGCATTGTTTTGTGCTATGGTCCCCCGGCTGTCTGTCCGCTCTTTCCAACCTTCTCGTCATAGCGTGCAGTTCCAAAGCAAGGAGACACTGGATGTTTATTTACATCCTGAGACCCTACGTTGAAGAGTGTAGCCGCAGTTCCAAGGCCCCTCTGGAAGAACACAGGTAGGCTCTCAGAAGTTCTTCTTGTTTCAGCAGAGTGGGATTGTTTACCTTATCGGCCATTGGCTCTTATGCAGTGTTGGGCTTTTGTTTGTTTGTTTGATTTATCGGGCGGTCCGACTGGCCAAGCTTTAATTCAGCCATTGTGTTGCCGGCCGGTGTGCTTGGCCATTTTGTATACTGACCGTGAACGGTTGTTCAAGGACCGCACCTCCTTTTCCGCTTCTTCTTTGATGCCTCTCCCGTTGGGTAGGCAGCTGGATGCCACCAAAAACCATTTGAAGGGTACCCAATGCTTGCGGGGCATTTCTTGTTTGGTTTGGCCCTTTCAGTTGAAGGGCAACGTTTCTCCTTTTGGTGCATTTCCAACTTCTAGAAATTCATTTCTTATTTGGTTAACTTCCACTCCCAAACACGCCCGAAAGAGGAAATGTAGGGGTCTACGTTTCTTGCATTTGTGTTTTCCGTATTTTGGAGGTTGTCCAGATTGGTAAAGCCCGCAGAGGAAGAAACGCAGGGGTTACTAATACGTTTCTCTATTAGTGGCCTTCCAGCCTTCCAGCCTCAAAATCCCATAAACCAAAATCCCATAAAACAAGAAATATTGGGGGCTACGTTTCTGTTTTGGGGTTCTCCAAGAACCCCCAAACTGAGTAATGCCCAAGAGGAGCCCCCAAGACAAGACATGCAAGCGGTTACGTTTTTGATTTTTGTGGCTTTCCAATCTCCAAAACCACTAAAGAAAGAAGTGGAACCTATCCTTCTTCTTTTGGGGGCTTGCTATATTGCATAATGGGGTTGGAGGCTCCGTGGCCTAATGGATGAGACGCCTCTCTGACTGACAAACACTGGAATGACAATGGGCTCCAATCTTGCCAGAAATGTAGGAAAGGGGAAGTGCAGTGTCACAGCGCCCCGCTGTGTCGACAAGTTTTTGATCCCACGTACTTTTTGCCAAGAAACCCAATGCATATTCTTAAACCAATGCATTCGAAGCGGCTGCACCATTTGCCGGAATATCAACAATGAGGTTACAACCTCAGCCATCCAACAATCAAAAGCTGCTCAGGAAGCAAAATCACCAAGAAACATCCGTGACTGAAACGAAATACTCATCAAGGATATCCGGCGATCAGGTTGTATTGTTTAATGTCTCCCTGGCTCGGATGGGCAGCCGCATCATCAAAAATGCTTTCACTTGTTGCGGCCATGATGCAAACATTCCATGCGAACCTCGCCGCAGCAAGTCACGCGGATGCGCGGTTGGTGGCTGAGAGGACTCCGTCGCCAAGAGGGGCCTGTAGACTGATGCATGAGCAATGCGATTGCAAATGGGCATTTCTTACCTCACGCAACACCGAAAAGAAACGCAGCATGCCATCAATTGCAATTGTGGCGGCATGGTCCTACTCACCCTTTACAGCCGGCATTCTCAGAATTTGGTGGTGGGGTGTGGTTGTGTAATTAATTGCAATGGATCCCCAGACCACCAAACCACAAAGAAGGAACATGATGGGCTCGACGAAATCCACAACCACCGCTCGTGGCTCCTGCCATGGTTCCACATGTGACTTTAGGCAGCTCTGAATGCTGCTTTGCCAGGGCGAGGCTCCCGAAAGCTGATGAAGAGGAAGCAAGACACAACCAAAAATACCAGAAGGTACACCATGCCTCAGGATTGGGCGCTTTTGCTAGATTTGACCATCATTTCCCGTTTTTGGCCTTCTTGGCGAAATGTTGGTATACGGGTCTGAAAACCATGCTAGCTTCCATCTCCATTTCTCCAACTCGAGGTAGATCCAAGGTACCATCACTGCGCAAGGCAGGGAAGGTTTGGAAAATCATGACCTGCGCAACCCATCAGACACTGATGAAACTGCTTTTCCATATGCATGAAAATGCAGATGCACATCTTAGGCCAGAAGACCAAGGCAAGGATGTCCAGCACAACACCTGGTACAAACAAAAATCAACCACATCTTGACAAAACTCCTGGGAACGTCCTAATAAATGCAACCCATTGACTTTGCAGCAACTCCAGCTGTGATGGGGCTCGCCAACGCATAGGGAACGAGGCAACGGCCAAAAGCGCTGCTGCGAACAATGCCGCTGAAGAGAGGCGCAGCACAGCTGGCGGCGGCAGTCACAAGACGTAGAAGCCAACCAACGAAAATTAAATGCAAAGTTCGCAACCGGGCCTTGCCACCAACACACGGGACCGGTGGCATCTGCACAGGCTAAAATGACCTTGGCTGTGCCACACTTTGTCCCTTGTTTGGGCTGAAATCATCGTTGCCAGACACAAATCACCCTCCCATGGCACGGCACGGCTTAAGCGTGACATAGCTTTCAAAACACGCCGCATTTCGGGGACAATAACGTCAGTCATCATGACTGCGACACTTTTCTGAGTATGGCCTTCATAAGGTGCGAAGCTACAACATCATTTCGTATTACGGACTTTAACCTTTGGAAATTTACATGTGAATCGTCACCTGAAAATACTTGGGGATGAGTTATGGGAGTGTCATCTCCATGGCGGCCAGGCCAACCAAAACCATCCTCATGACGAGCTCCACGGATAAACACAATGAGCCATATTTGTGCAGGAACAACACGCAAATCATTTTGTTCTGGGACACTTGTAGCGGACAGATCCTAGCAGCCTTGTTAGTTGAGGCTTCCTGACACATCCGTGGGGACCCCACAAGTCACTCACACACCACTATGTAACATGAGGCACAACGCGCTAAAACATACATGGCATGTATGTCGAATTCCAAATTGTATCTCTGCTGACCAAATCCGACTGGCTGGACTTCAGCGAATGTCCCGAAAATCTTGCGTCCATCCTCCGAACTGGGTGCTTGTTCATATGTAACATAGCCGCTGCTGATGCGAAACTACACATGTGCACCCCAAGGTTCCTACGTTCTTTGATCATATTGCAAACGCCTCCAAGCTACGGTAAATTGTGGGGCCAGCATTGCGGCTTCTGCAGCTGCTGCGCGGAAAGCCCGCTCCACACCGCCTTCACCAGCGGGTCATACAAGCTCTGCACAAGGCCAATCTGGATCACGCCCGCATATATATTGAATATTTGTTTCTCGCGTTGAGCCGGGTTCCGGCGCAGTGGCCATCATGCCTGCCGTACGCAAGGGCATGCGGTTGTTGGAGGGCGCCTCATGCCAACATGCATAGGCCAGGAACTCGGGCCCGTCAATGCCCATTGCGCTGCGACTGCCAGGATTCTGCTCCACCGCACAACCCAAGCAGCTTTAAGCGAACAAACCTGTCAGCCTCAGGGGCCCACCTCCTGCCAACCTCAACTCCAGCCCACAAACTACCGGGCAGCAGCGGCGCTCACTCGAGTTCAGGATAAATGTGGCATGGTGTGGCGTCGGTTGCGCCGGGTGGCCTGCGCAAGGATGATGCCTGGTTGAACATCCGCATTGGCCCACGGCTGCCCATTTCTAGATTTGATCACGGTATGTGCCTCCAGCAAACACACATGCCATCGTTGGGGCACTACATTGTCACTACATCACGGATGCCGGCCGCCGTTTTTTTTCCCATATGCTCAGACACGGGGGCCGATAGAAGTGGCAAGGGTTGGTTTGTTGGTTGCAGTTGAAATGTGCCGTTCTGTGGTGAGTTTTTGCCACGTTTCTTGCCAACTGGTGTGGTTTGGAAAACTTGTGTGCCAAGTTGGGAATTCACTGCGTGCAGCGCAGCGATGCGAAGCGTATATGCTCCCTGAGAGGATAACGTCGTTACACGACAGACGCGCGTTTTACCATGACATCCTTGTTTAGCCCACATGTTTTTTTCAGCCACAGTCTCCTTTGTCTACGAAATTCGGACGCTGAAGCTCAAAAATTGGGAAACTTACCGGGAAAACCCAGAAAAATTTACGGACCCAATAATCATTAGCCTGCCTAGAAGGCAAAGAAAACCTAGTTTTTTTTGCGACGTCTTTTGCGCTTGCCTAGAGTCCAGGTCAACTCACGGCCACTCGACGAGCAGCTCGCCCAGGGGGACGTCAGCCCTGTCGCTGACGTCGACCGGTTGGGCCGGCAGTTCCCGCAGCGTTCGCGCACGTGCCCGCTAGTTGTTCCCGAAAGGAAAGGGCCGAAAGAAACTCTGGCCTCTGCAGGCGCTTTCGCCCAACAAACCCCGCAACATCTCCGCCTAAATATTCCATCAAAATCCTATCCTTGGGGACGGTAATTAACGAAAATTTTGCCGCAAGCTTGCTTGGCTTTGCAAACGTATGTTCCGCGCTTATGAGTGAAACGGGGCATGGGCAGAACAAGTGTGGAAAGCCCGCTGCAAAATCCATGCGCACTCAAAAAGTCGCACAGCAATTCGATCCATGACATTCTACTCTCGCACCCTCATGAAGAAACCGTGTATTGAACGAGAGCGCGCTGGGCAGCGACTGCCAGCATCCCTGTCCACTTGTTGAATCGGAGGTACCCCTACACCTTGTCCTGGTATGGCTTCATGAAAGTACTTTCAAGCGGCTAGGTGCTTGGTGGAACTCCCTTGCTTGGGACAATGCTCTACCCGAAGTCTTGTTCGTTTTCGGTGCTGGTGAGATGGTAGTTTACTATGGATGGCTATGGCGTGGCTTTGGTTTTCGCTTCGTGCTATCCAGGTCGGCGGCGTCCATCGGGAGGGCAATCTGTCTGGCATCTTCGCTGGTTACGACTTGTTCTGTCAGCTATGCTTCTCTGGGGAGGCGACAGTACCTTTCCGTGGCATTTCTTTCATCGTTGGTTGGTCTCAGGGGTGGGTGAGAACCTGAGTTAGGTTGTGCACACCCTCAACAGCAACATCATCATTATCAGTTTGGGCTTGTTGCCTGCCACCCGAATTTTCACCCGCGGCTTTTACTGGGCGGGGTGGGGTGGGCTGATGTTCTGCCTGTCCTCCGCCAGTGCCTCCCGGCCTTTGCCGAGACCTGCTGCAAGACGAGGTGCCGGACTTGAAGTGTGCCGCCGAAGCGCGCGCGCTGTTCTTGGCTGCGGGCTTGCAAACGCCCGAATTAAAGGCCGCAGGAACTTATCACTAGAGTCAGCTTCCTGAGAAGGGGCTCACTCCTGCTCGTGTCAGGAGCAAGGGGGTCTACATAGGATCTTATGTGAGCGGGTTTTTGGGTTGGGGTAGCCAAGGGTTGAAACCTGAACTCGCAGAGTCCCGGTGGCCATGCCGTAACGTCCGGACATACAGCAAACAATATCAGCAAATGCCGGCAAACCAGCTACAAAGCAATTTGAACACGTCACTTCTGTGAATTTCAGAGCTGTGCTTCCTGATGGATGTCCCAAGGCCCAACAGGAGCCTGATACGGTCTCAAGGGGATAGCATGAACTTCATGTCCTTGAAGGAATTGTTCGCTCTTCTAGGATCCACTACCATACTGGCTAAAAGATTCCAAAGTTTTAAAGGCTTGACCAGTGCTGGCGTGGGGTCTAGACAACTGGCCCCAAAGCAGTCTGTGGCCTGCAAGAGTAATCTCAAAGTGATCTGTTGCCCGTAAAGTGGTTTTCAAATGATTTGCGGTCTGGAAAATGATTTGGAAGTGGTCTGGGGCCTGGAAAAACGTTCTCAAACTGATCTGGGGCCTGGAAAAGTGATCTCAGAGCGATTTGGCGAGCGGAAGAGTGATTTCAAAGTATTGGGGACTTGATTGGTTCTGCAGCTAGCAGGATTTGCGCTTCCCGTGACAACAGCCAGCGGCTATCGGGTTGTAAGTCGCTGCTTGACGTAGCCCAGCAGGCCTAGCACACCTTTGGCAGGCCGGGAAAGTGATTTTAAAGTGACCTGGGGCTTGAAAAAAGTGCTCCCAAAATTTCTGGGGCCTGGATAAGTCATCTCAAAGTCATGATGGGGTCCGAAAAATTGATTTTCAAGTGACTTGTGGCCTGGAAACGTGATCCCACACCTTTCGGGATCACTTCTGCGAAGATTCCGGATCACTTAAGCACAACTTTTTCGAGCAGCCAAAGCACTTGTCCAAGACTACTGTCACTTGTGCGAACGGTCCAGTTCACGTTCAAAATCACTTTGCCCTGGTGCAGGGAAATCCAGTTCACTTTTCACATCACTTTCAAATCACTTCGATTCTCAAAAAAGTCCAACATGCCACTGCAATGGTTGCCGGGCCCTTACGTCGCAAGTCTTTGCTTTCGGGGTAAACGTACATTTCGCAACTCTGGAGCCAAGTCTCCTTCATGCATCTGCCGTCTGCCGTTTTCGGGATTCTACAGATTTCAAGGCCAAAGCCCAAACCTACGGGGATATGGGTTGCCAAGCCCTAAATCCTAGTCAACCATGCCAAAACATGCCAAAACACAGCATGGCACGCTTTTCAGGTTGCTGGCTTGTACGC